TCCACCCCGCACAACATGATCTACTCGACCACCATTATGGTTACCGCCAAAAAAAAAACCGGAGGTAAAAAAAAAAAACGGAAACCTGGTTGCCGAGTTCACGAAGTGAATTGGCTTGTTTTACAACGTCGTTGCCAAGCGACGAAAACCCAATCCCGATGGCAAACACCGGGGGGGGGGGCTTGTTTTACAACGTCGTTGCCAAGCGAAGTACCATGGATAGGGGGGGGGGTTGCGTCTTTTGCGGGGGGTTGACAATTTCACCACTGCTTTCCAACAGAGAACAGAGGCACACGCCGCCGTCGTTGCGTGTTGGCGGTGGCCGTGAAGCATTGAGCGTTCGCGGATGCCGACAAAAAAGTGTCGTCTAAAATGTAGGCTGCAGCTGTGGAGATGACCTCTATGAAGGGTCACATCTCCTCGACTTCTGTCTGTCGAAGGGGATTTTCTCTGCTCATATCGGCGTTGCGGTGAGACATCTGAGTTTGGTGGCGAAGACCCGAGTTCGATTCCGCCTTCCAATGTACCATGATGCTGGTACATTCAAGTGCGGGTACAATGTGGGGGTCAAGAAAGAAAAGCGACTGACCCGAACTTGTGGAGACTTAGCGGACATGGCCCAACCAGCAAAACACGTTCAGAAAATTGTGAAGACGTGAATCAACTCTCCGCCAGCCGCTTGGGTTCCCGCTACCCTAGCCTGTGATGTAAGTAGCATAGTCTAAGAGTATACCAGCAGTCTTCAGCTGTAGTTTACAGCTGTAGTCTACCTACTTCGTATTTCTATGCCCGAGGGGATATTGTGAAATGACTCGTCGAGGAGGATTCCCTCACGTTCACCTGCTTGTGTGGAGCATCAGTGGCACTGCTGTGGCCAGGGTTGAAACGCTATGGTTATTTCTAGAAAGTAAACATAACCTTACAGAAACACTACCCGTTCGAGATATAACCTCAGTCGAAAGGAATGTGGTGAAGTCTTTTCAGTAAGTGGAATGAAACCAACTAGAGACTTGGCTTATTTTGAGTTTGTGTAAGCCTAACACTAAGTTATCAGTAATGCCAGTTGGAGCTAAGAACAAAAGCATCTGTATAGGCGGATACATTCTTAATTTCATGTTGAACGTGGCCTTTACAGTTATTATAGCACCAAAAGCCACGCTGTGCTTTTCGCGGTACAACTATTGTATGCTTTTCTGTTCAGCAGCTGCGAGGGAAAAAAAGAAAAGAATCATCACACGGCGGGATCAACCTGCAACGTAGGCGTATCTCTCAGACCCGCGGGAATGTATACAACACATTCTGATGTGCACAACACATAGGGCAGAGTAGAAGCTGTGAGCAGGGCAATAGGTCGAGACCGGCAGTAAGCGGGGACCGTTGCGACCACAATCCCTCCCAGAGGTTTCAGCAGCAAATCATACCCCCGTTTGGAGACACGCCCGGCGGGCTGGAAGCAGTACAGATGCACATACCCCCGAGCTCCTTGCCTTTCCTTACTCCGTGTCGGAGTTTTGGATTCTGATGCGGCTTGTCTTCCTTGATATGCACCAGCATGGGTCGACAACATTCTCGAGCACTACCTCTGAGGGACTTGGGCACGGCCTCCGCCTACCATCCGGAATCCGTCAAAGGTGCTCGCCGAGGCACATCTCGCACGCCGCCGGTAGCGAAGGTTCCACAGCAGCAAAAGGTTTTGCGGAGTTATCCACTGCTGTAAAGTGCTTGCTTTTCTCCTCACCACATTCAAGTACTCACCCACCGAAGCCAAGCTGGGTCACCTCGAGCAGGAGAGGAAATAGGCGGAACCACGGCAGCAGGGTCCTCCCCTCGAGTCCACGAGCCGCAAAGAGAGAAGCCCTTCACCACCGCGTCCAAACGGTTTACTCCAAAGTCGGGGTCACGCGTCTTCGTAGATCTCATACACACGCCGCCGCGCCGCGCGGCCTGTCTGCTGTAGATATGCACGAATCGCACCGACCGGTCTGTTCAAACGAATCAAGTTGTTGATATCATACACGCGGCTGAGCACCACAGTCACACTCTGTCACTGATGTCTTGGCCTCGACCCGCGCGGTTCCGGGCAGTACTCTCGATTTTTGCTGGATGGGCGCGCGCTGTTGGTTGGGTATCTCTGGTCTGCCTCCGGCATAGAAAACCGCAGACAGGCGTGTTTAAGACCATGCGGCCTCTCTTGCGTAACTGCCATTCACAAGGAATTGCGCCGATTTTGTGTAATTGTCAACCTTCAACCTTCAGATCTTCATACACTCACGAGAGGTCTCCGTAATATCCGTATTGCGTGTGTTGGAAGTGTGCTGTAGTGAAACCACGCCTTTGGTGCACCCGCATTGCTTAGGCATGTTTTCGCCGGTTGCGCGGATCGTTTTCGTGGTTGGACTCAGAACGCTCGAGTCGATCGTGCTGGCACAGCAACCTGCCGAGGTCGTTCTCACCACGGCCTGCGCTGCGAGCGGATTGGTTGGCTACGACTTCAAGGTGTTTCGCGACAATCTTTCGGCGATATTTTGTTGTTGATCGCATAGCATTCTACTGCTGTAAAAGTCCATGTAAAATAATGTCAAACGTACAGCAAGATTATATTCGAGTACGTACATGTATAGACTAGTCTAGTCTTGACTGCGTGTTGTTTGAGCTTGCCTGGAGCTGCAAGTCTACGGGAAGGCCTCGTTGCAGTATGTATGGCTATGCATGCATGGACTATAGTCTATGGTGTAGACTATTGCTGCAGACTACAGCGATCAGTAGATAGTTTCCCATCAACGTCTGTCGGTCCAAGAATCGACATGACACGCAGCACGCCGTTGCATCAAGTACATCGTTCATTCTACTGCTCTTTTGCTCTGCCAAGGTAAGCGTCGGCCACCCGATAAATCATCTTCGGCGTCTGTCATTTGATACAGAGGAACGATGCACGACCCACGTGACGCCATCAGGTTGAACCGCAGCTTGGTCTGTCGGTGCACTGGAACTTATCCCCGTTTGACGAGGTCTCCTTGAAGGTATTGTCTGTTGACGCTTTGGGTCTCCGGCTCATGTTTCTGTGTTCACTCGATCCACCCCTTCATAGTCTTACGCTCAGAAAACACTTCAACCAGTGCCTGGTAGACAATTAAATTGTAGGTTTATCCACCATCAGGGTGTCATGGAAATACTTGCGACGAGGCAACCCACGGGCTAGCTTCTTTTTCGGCCTACACCGTGCGATACGTCCTGAAACAAGGCACAAACCAATGGCCTCGCGCGCAGAAACACCGTGATCTTCCTACCACAGGATAGAAGTATGCGCACAACATGTCCAGTTGGTCGCGAATGGTGCGACCTCCTCTGGGTCTTTGTTAGTCTACACGACGTTCGTACTTAGTTTTCTGCCCTTTTCTTTGGGGAATCACAGATAGTGCCTTCAATATCATTTTTGCAACGTGCAGGACAACAACAACAGCAACTTGACGAGAAGAGAAACGTGCACCAACCATGTCTGTAACATCCGCAACAAGCAGGCCATATCGGCTGACTTCAATGTGGGGTGGCTCGCCATCGGCTTTTCGTCGGATGGCAACATGATCGGCTCCGACGCCGTCGTCGGTTCCATTGAAGGAGTACTCGAGTACGACCTCGGTTCAAAAGTGCGTAATCACTGTTGTAGCAGAGGATTGACTGTCCCGAGAGTTGGTCGGAGAGAAGACCTTGGAATGTCTCTATGTCTCCGGCTGAAGTACGCGGTGGCGAGGGACAGTTTAGGGTTGGAAAAATGCTTATCGGCGGGAGAAAAACGCCGCGCGCGATGTCTCCTTTCTCCCTCCCCTTCCCTCAACCACCGACACGCCTTGAACCCAACCGCATGTAATCGTACATGACGCTGCACGGCGGTGCCTACAGGGGCTTCCCGTTCAGCCACCGCTCTCGCCCCTCGAAGCATCCATCCGGCCGTACTCCGTCGACGAGCAAGAAATCACAGGTGCGGTGCTCGAGAGGGACGAGAACGTCACCTCGCTGTCCTTCACGCGACCGACAATCCCTGAGGTCTCTGGGAAGCAGGCCCTCCTTGCCGGGGCGGACACTTCGGCCATCTTGCTCTGGGCAGCCGGATCGGACGACTCTTTTGGCTACCACTTCCTCGGGCGCGGAGCTTTCAGCATTGACCTGGCTTGTTCGGAAGGCCAACCCGTGGTAGAAGGAAACGTGGTGGAAGAAGACGTGGTGGAAGGAGATGAGCAGCTCGGCACTGAGGCCGGCAGCGCCGTGCCTCTTCTCACCGAGGGGCCGAGCACATCTCCGTTCACGGTGTTCTCTGTTAGCCCTAGTTCCGCCCCCGCGCCCCCTTTCACGGCCCAGCCGGCAGGCGGTAGCACTACGAGCGGAGCGTTGCCACGGGTGCCAACCGCGGTTGTTGGCTTTGTCTACAGATTTGCTGCGGCGGCCGCCCTCGGATTTGCTGCTGTCGAAGTGTTCTTCGCCTTTGCCGTTCTTTGAGTTCAGAATAAAAGGTTTATTACTTGACGGGCGCGTGCACAGCGGTTGTCAGAGCACGATGCCAGATGCCACGGTCTCCCTCCACCAAGTACGACGGCAAGGTATGGAGGAGCGGCACGTGCGTGCCTTGCCACGTCGCTTTGAGCATGGAGGTCAGTTTGGGGTCGCTGTCGAAGGCGACCATGATTTTTGAAGGCACTCAGCTATGCAGACCACATACGGTCATAGCACGTTCTGCTGGGCACGCTAGTCGATATTGCGTGTGTGTGCAACGCGTGAACAACGTTGCACTTCAAGCAATGTTTTCAGGTAATATTTCTCCCGGCTTTCTCCTTGGTGCAAACATGTGATGGGACCGAACTTTCGACTTTAGTGAAACATTCTACGAGCGGAAAAAGTGTACGTGCGCTTGGAAGGCTCCTTGGGGACATTCTTTTATTTTTCTTCAGTGAAACACTCTTGCGGTACATGTTCTCTGCATTGTCGTTCGTTGTGGTGTAGTCAGAAATGGAGCGTGGCCCGTCGGAATCTTAGTCCGAGGTTGAGGCTCGAAAAAAAACGCCACTCTACCCTACGATTGTTTCCGAGTCTTGTTCGTGCTTGCCAAATACCATAGGCGAAGTGGCGGGGTGCCACAATGAAAACGGTACAAACAACAGTGTTGCGCCTCCTCCCTTGTCGCATTCCTCATGCACCTGTTTCTCCTTGCGCTAAAAAACAAGTGTTTCGAAGTTAAGTGTGTTCTTTTGTCGCCCGTTTCTGAGTGAAAAGCTTGCAGTGTTAGTTGTTGGGACTGAACGGGTCTGCGGGCTTACCAAAACAGATGCTCGATGAGAAGCGAGACGGGCTACTGATTTTGAGAGGTTGGACCCTGCTGTGATCGCTGTGACGCTTTGCGGTGATTGTCATACCATGGAGTATAGTCAACATGATCAGTAGGACGCGATTCGTACTGGCTGATCCGGTGGCCGGGATGTGATGGTAGAAGGCGAAAGTGCGAGGAGCTTGGGAGGGAGAGACGTGCTGCCCACTCCCACTCAAGAAGAGCAAGTTCGTTGTCGTAGATGGGACAAACTGAAGAATGTAGTGCAGATGGAGAACTTTGAGTTGCAGTTGCATCGTTTTCGGAAAGCCGGGGTCAGCAAGAACAGATTATCTAGCGAGCCCCCCTTCTGGACATTATCGAAGGAGAGTACGTGCATCGTAGGTCGCCACGCGTGAGAGAACGAATGAGGACTGAGTGTTTGTGCACGCCGAAGGATACAGGCGTCGGCCAACATAGGTGGCCACAAAGTAGTATAATAGTGTCTTTTCCCGCCCACCGATCCCTTTCCTTCTTAAGGTGGGGGGACGGAAAATGGTACGAAATCCTTGGTTTCCTTTGATTGGTTGATTGTATTTTTCGTGGGGGTGGGGGGTCCTCATCTTTCCCAAAACCTGAGTGCAGTAGCAGCTGTAGTTGGATTTATTTGGCTGGGTACAGCTGACTCGTAAGCAGAGAGAGAAACAGACAGTATCGAGGGGAGATCAGGCGCGAGGCTTGCGTGTTCCTGGCGTTGACTCCTCTCTCCTTCTCTCTTTTTACACCCGGTGAAAAAAATCGATGCTGAAGAAAATAAAGAAACCAACAATAGAGTACGCGTATTTCTCGTGTGACGTACCCCAACGTTCAGTCTAATGTTGGGGTCGCTCGACAACGTACTTGACCGTTAGTTCAAACCATATCACAACAGGCGGTCTCTTCTCCGCTGTGTGTGCTGCACGTCTATTTCCTATGATACTGTTGTGTAGGCAATTTTTACAAACTACCTTCTCTTCGTTTCGACAGCTCTCACGCCACCCTGTCGCTTGATCGACAAGCCTTTAGTGCCGAAAGCGAACACAGAAGAGATAAAACTTGACCGTTTGGTCCTACCTCCTTTTCATCGCCCTAGCCGTCCTTCACAGTTTCTGACCGTCGTGCACAGTTTCTAACTACCCTACGGCCTTGCATCTGTAATACAAGAGTTCCGATGCGGGGTCGCCGAGAGAATTCCTGTATGACGCATGTCAGTCATCCTTCCCTCAAGCGTGTTCCGTTTCCAAAGATACGGAAAATTCATGAAACGATTTGTCTGAACTCCTACTATCAGCAAACGCTTGGTAAGCTTGGTGCATTGCCCCCGCTCGCAACCCTACCCGCGGCAGGGAGAAAGGTGAGGGAGGATATATCTACCCTCGTCTTATCCACGCGTAAACGCGAGGGAGAATCGAGGCTTGGTATCAACGTCTAAACGTACGGTCCAACCGACTTGAACCACAAATGTGCACATATCGTCAAACGAGCTGAACAGGTTGGACACACGCAAAACCCGCGGTTCAGAGTTCGATGCCTTTCGTTATTGGACGCCACGGCAAGAGCTCGAAGAGATGATGCGCCCTTGTCGTCGCCGTAGCTTTCGTCGCATGTGTGTTGGCTTGCGGGTGTCCAGATTGAAAGTTGCGACCTTTCCCTATCGAAGCCAGCTCCTGTAGGCACTTCGTTGAGAATTCGAGTTCTCGCAGGACCAAACGACGTCGGCCGAGGGACTCTTCTCTGTCCTTTCTCCAAGCCATGCCGACCATCATTGTAAGCGGCGACAGATTGCTGGGCGCTCTAGCTACGATCGAGATCACAAACGAGATCTATAGACAGGGACTAATGCGGCGGGCATCTGTAGTTTCCAATCGCGTATGCGAGCGTTTCTTTCCTCTCTATATCTTCCGTCCACTCAGGAATGTTTGCCCCATGGACTTCGTTCGGAGTAGACGTGTCGTCTCGTAGGATGGACTTGATGGTCCTAGAGGTCGTCTTATCTCGAAGTTGTGGAGCGGGGCCGCAGATGCCCAAAAAAACAAGCCCTACTCCGTCCCTCCATCCCTCCGTCCCTCTTTCCTGTCACGACGACGACCCTAGTGGCGGTGTCGGCCCTACCGACGACGGAAAGATTCTCTCCAAGGTGGATGTCGAACGCCTGCGGTGGGGCGATGACCCTGCACTGCCACAGGAGCTGTCGTTACTCTCGTACGCATTTAGTGGTGTTGTCGGGCCCCAATTCGCCGCTACCTTTACCGCTGCTCCTGCTTCCTCTGCCGTCGTCGTTGACGCCCCGCTACGGCTGGACAGGTCCAACCCGTCAGATACCCTGGAGCTTGATCCTTCAACGCCCCGCATCCCAACGCCTGGTCTACTCCTCGCTTCTGATGCTCTTCCGTTGTCTTCTCCCCGACCCGCCACGCCCTCTTCCAGCACCCTGTAAACGTTGTTTGTCCCTGTTCGCGCCCCGCTTGAAGTGATCAAATTTACACCTGCTGCAGCCATTGCCGCACGCTGCCGCGCGTTGTCATCTTGGTCTATCCTTTCGTCTCCGCCGTCGCCATCTCCACAGCTGCCATCGGCACCGGCTTCGTTTGGAGCGAAGTTTCCACCGCCTTGGGGCAAGTTCACGGCGTTCACCATGCTCGAACTATGCGCGTTGACGTCAACAGGCAGCGCCGGTGGTGGCGGTGGAGAGGGGGTTGCCTGGGTTGCCGCCGGCCAGGTCGCGAAGTCGAAGCTATTGCCGCCCGCTTTCTCCCTTGCGATCCACATGGCCTGGTTCCTCTGTCGCAAAAGGTTTTCGTTTAGGTGAGAGACTTGCTGGGTCGGTCTGTCGCTTTGAATGGTACGTGGAGAGACTAGGGTGCTGGAATATCGACCGATCAGCTACTTAGGACCGCCTTTTGTAGATGGCAACGGCGAGGAAGAGTGAAGGTCGACGGAATCTTAGCGTGCGACCGCAACACTATGCCCAGCAGACGCCATACATCACTTAGATACTTGTAAACACAAGGGAAATCGAGACGGTCTAAATATATTTTTCCTCCAAAAAAAGGGAAACATGCGCGTCAAAAAGACAGCCCGGGAGAGGAGACCTTCGTAGAGAAACCCGGACCAGAGCTTTGCCTGGTAGAGGATATCACGAACTTATCATGTATGGGCTCCGGTACTTCAGTTCTCTCTAAATGTGGTGCGGTTGTCCGCACAACAATCAATCACGCATGCCGCGTTCATAGACCTCGCACCTCCTCCGCAAACCCGGGGCGGGTAGGGAAGGGGCAGATTCCTGCGAAGCTGAACGATGGTAGATTCGCCACGACCAACAGTGTGGCCTCTCACCTTAAGATTTTTGGTGCACAAGTCTGCCGCCGGGCAGTCGAGGAAAGAGACCCAGCTCTCGAAGAGAGGGTTGACAAGGAAAGAAATGAAATTTTTCTGTGACGAGGCGATGTCGGTATTGTGGCGGTCGCAAAGCGGGGACGGCTCCAACCCGAGCAACTTTTCCTCATCCCCCTGTCGTTGTTGTGATGGGATAGGATAGTGGGAGTATTGGAGAAGGAACATGGCATTAGTGAGGGCCAGGCAGGTTTCCGAAAGGAGAGGGGGTGCGTAGACCACGTGTTCACGGTAGGGAGAATCATCCAAGGTAGAAAGAGGGCGGGAAAGCCGACGTACTGCTTCTTCCTGGACGTGAAAAAGGCATACGACACAGTATGGAGAAATGGGTTGTGGAAACAACTGTCCAAATACGGGATCAAGGGGAAAATGTGGAGAGTGCTGAAGAAGTTGACAGCGTGTACGAAAAGCGCGGTCATGTTCGACGGAGAAATGTCTAAATTCTTCGACATTGAGCAGGGGATCCCACAAGGTTGCACGCTGTCCCCAACATTGTTCCAGGTGTCCATCAACGATCTGTTGGAAGTCGTAGAGGCAGTCCAGAAGGGAGTATAAGTAGGGGACACGGAAACGTCGGTTTCAGGAATGCTGTCAGGAATGCTGTTTGCGGATGATTTTGTCGGTATGTCGGACACGCACCTGCACATTGACGCGGCGAAGAAGTTTACTGATAAGTGGAGATTGTCTGCCAACGTTCAGAAGAGTGCCGTCATGGTATGCAACGAGAACAAGGAGGAACCAGTAGAACATAGATGGAAGTGGGGGATCGAGGAGATTGCAGTAGTGGACCAGTACACATACCTCGGAGTAGAGATCGCAAAAAACTGCTCGTGATATACACATATGTCCAAGGTAGCGGAAAAGGGCAAATCACGAGCAGGGAAGCTGCATCCAATACTCGCAAACCGGCACCTCGATACACGCATCAAATTGACGGTTTTGAAGAGCGTAATCGTACCGCCGCTAGAGTACGCCGGAGAAGTATGGGAAGGAAATAAGAAGGTAGTGAAAGAACTCGAGGCGGCGCAGATGAAAGCAGCGAAAATCATCCTAGGATGCTCCACGCGCACAAGTAATGCAGCCGTGAGGGCAGAATTGGGGATCCAATCCCTACGGTCGGGAAGAGACGCGAGGAAGCTGACATGGCAGTATCGCATGTGCGGGATGGGAGAGGAAAAGCTGCCGA